CATGTGTTCAATGTGCTGCCGACATAGTACCAAGCTCGAGTGCACCTGAGTCGACACTAGAACCGAGCATACATTGTTAGATACCAGCCCCTACCATACCTCATCATCCATTATCTTATACCATACCTCATTATACACCACTGCCTATTGTACCTACAAAGACACCATCCATACTAGTTCGTTGCATACCCCAACACATACAAGACCCTATCATATACAGGCTTCTAGGTGATCGCCACACCTCCTGAATTTATCGTAGAGTATGTTTCTCCCATTGTTATGCTAGACTCATCCACCACAGATGCTCTAGAAATTATATCACCCACCCAGTCTATCATACATGATTCACGGATGACATCGCCTCTTTCAGCTATAGAGATGTCACACCCAACAGACAATGTCACACAGAAGAGTGATACTGATGTTGATACGACTTTTGTAGTTGTACAAATGTCACAGCAGCGTGATACACGCGTTGATACGACTTCACTTGCATATCTTATTCATTGATTCGAGGTTGAGGGATGAGGTGGTCAAGGTCGAGATTGAGATAGGACTATAATGTCTATTGTCGGAGAAACGGTGTCACAGGTCATTGAGGGGGAACCATTTGAGTTAGAAGCACGTTGTCTGAAATGGCTGAGGAAGAAGTCGGCTTGTGCCACTTAGTATTATTATGTTTATCATTTTTTAAATTTATTTATATGTATTTAATTAAGTAGTTTTATTATTTTTTATGTAACTTAAGTAGTAGCAGATTGATTGTAGTAGTAGTGGTTGATTTTGGTTGTGATTGTGGATATGTTTGTGGTGGTGGATGTTGTTATTATTGTACATGCAACTTAAACTGATTTTGATGGGGTCAATATTTTAAGGAAAACTCTGTCCAAATTTTTTGAGATGTATGTGTAACGTCAGTATTTACAGTTACATACTACAATTTCTATATCACCATTATATTGTTTTGATTGTTATGTTGTACATTCAACTTTGCTTAACTACTTTTGATAACATATGACAATAAATGATACATGTTATTTAAGTTGGAAATGAAAGCACACACGTTACAACATTTGAATATGAAAATACATATACAATATGAAACCTGTGACGGAGGTTGTAGTAATTTAATCGTATTGTCATGCGATTGTTTTCAACTTTAATACAAAACAATGCACGTTCCAATTGTCGAAGAGGGTCAATAGGCATATTAACGACAGTTTGGCGAGGCCTGCGTCTATTGCAAGTTCACAAATCTTCACTTAGAACTTTCCTTTGATTCAAGTGATATTGTCATTCCTCTGTCATTCTATTTATGGACCTTTGTGAGTAACGTAAACGCTAATTTAGAGGATAGAAGAATTTATCCTCTAAAGCCCAATGATAACCCATACTTTCAAACAAGGTGCATAGACTATAATTCGTGGTTGAAATTGGTAAGTATACAATGAGTGTGTTTACACATGATAAATTTATATAGAAATTGTTATGCACTAGTGGTCACTATTTGGCTAGGTTATTGTACACGCAATGAGATTGCCATCAATGAACACTAAAAAGATGGTTGTGTCACAATAAATGGTGAATGGACTAAACACTGAACCTTATGGCCAACCTTATACACGCTGAACAATGGTGAGTACTGAATTGTGAGTTGACAACACACTATGTGACTATTGCCTATAGAATTGACTACACAATGTGTACAAATTTATTGTCCTTCTACTACATGTGACAGTGTCTGTGGCACTCTAATAAATTGAATCAACTTGACTATACACTATGCACATGACAACACACTCTCAATGTGTGAATACTACCTATTAAACAAACTCTCGATGTGTGAGTACTCTCTATTGAACTGACTACACCTGTGAGTCTTTATTCATATTCTAATGTGTCCATATTGCCTATTGAATTGACAACACTTGTTAATTTTATTGTTTATTCATCAGTGTGTGGTCAATGTCAGTGCTTAGTCATCTTGTGTTTTTAGCGCAATATGTGACTATCCATGCCAGTGCCACAGGCACGTTCAGTTGAAATGCACGTGGAATGGTGCACAGACAATATCATAGCACAACTTTAACGTGAAATTGATCAGATGCAATGACATTTAGATCGATTCCACTCTATCAACAAAGCAAAGATAGAACATTCAGATCTTGCCGATGCTATTAATGTAGTATTATCCGATCCATTACTAGCTTTTGACAATAAATTGTTTGACTTTGACAATTCAACTGATGATGAGCATGACAAATTTTTTCCAGCTAGTTTGTGCGCACGTGGTAAACCACTATGTTGTCTAGAATATGGTTCTCATTAGAAAACATATATTGTTGTATTTGTCTTGCATTTCGTATGAACTTCTTTGTATTCCTATTTCAGATAAATAAAGTAACTATCATGTTATTTTACGTTTGTAGATTAAGATGATTGTGAGAAAGAAAAAAAATTAAAAAAGGGGATACATATACAAATGTGTCATCCATAAAGGATAACTTTTTTATGTAATCCTTTTAAAAACACCAAAATGACAACTGTAAAAAAGCGGACTTGTCAATGTCTCCTTTACTGTAAAAGTGGATTCAGTAAATACGTTTTCAAATAAAAGCGGATTCAGTAAATCCGTTTTCATTTAAAAGTGGATTGAGTAAATCCAATTTTAAATGGTCAATACAAATTTATACAACAGTCTCATCTAATGAACGCATGGATGAAGATGTTGTTTTTACTTTAAAAGCGGATTTAGTAATTAAACTTTCATTGAAAAAATGTACTTACTGAATCCGTTTTTTAATTAAACGAGGCATCTCCGTCCACACTTTCTTTTATTGTTTACACATGAAAGTGGATTTATTAAATCTGTTTTTCAATAAAGTGTAATTGCTAAATCCGCTTTTAAAAATGTTGTAGTTTGATAAATAGGTTCGAAATTGTCGTATTTTGGTAAAAAAAATTAAAAAACAACCACATTTTGGTAATAAACTCTTTGATTTGTTATCTTCCTTTCCTAGGTATTTTGGTACGGAGTTGGGTTCTTTTTTTTGTGAGTTCCAGTATGTTACCAATCTTTGTACGTTGCGGCTTGATATATACTATTCCAAGTTTTTGTCAAAATGACATTTTGCAAATCATGTGAAGAGCAACATGCAAACTATGAATTTGAAGGATGGTGGAGAAAAAAACATAGAAGTGTGAGAAAGATTTGCTACTAAAATCAAATTGATATCAAATTTTTACAAAGCCTCATGAGAGAAAGTAGCTGAATTTGAAGAATAGTTCTAGTAAACTGAACTCTAAAAGAATAATGTTCAGCTATTTGATTTTCATTTTTACTCGTGGTATATAAAAAGAATCATGTTTTTTAGAGCCTTCATGAGTGGTGTATATTTTTTCCTTCAATTAGTATTGATTGGTGATGATGCATGTCAGCATTCATGTCAGAATTGATGACACAATATTAGAGTCATCTTAATAACTAAATATGCCTAACAAACAAATCTAACAACTAGGATCAATAAAATCGCAATTTGAATAGGAATTCTACGATCCTGTAAGATCTGGGCCACTATTCATTTCCTATCAATTTGGGATTCTACTAGAGATTAGAGATTTGGACCGATTTGTTTATTTTGGATCGTAACATCATAAGATGTGGATCGAGATTTGACAATCATAATCATAACCAAATCGAACATCAACTTGGGGCTGTTGGGCTCGGCTTGGGCTTGTTATTTTATAAAACGACCCGAATATGAACAAAAAAATAGGTCTGTTTTAAAATCGAGCCAATCCCAAGACTGAGTTGCCCACGAGCTAGCCAAGCTTGTATTTTTTCTCTTAATTTTTTATTTTCACTCCTGAACTAAGTTGGACACAATTGAAATTCCTTTTAATTTTTTTTCAAAAAAAATCACAGCTTTATGTAGACCTGTCAAAATCTGACACGACATGATTAACTGACATGAATCAATACGATTTTAAGCGGGCTTGAATGAAATTTTAATAGGTTTGGATGATAAATAGATTGACCCGTCAGATTAAACGAGTCGTGTTTGAGTTAAGACTTGTCAATCTATGTACTAATGATTTATCTGTTTAAATAAAATTAATATAATAATTATTATTATTCAAAAAAAATAAATAACCAAAAAAGAAGTATAAGTCAAAATAACAAAAACATTTCCTAACCCTAATTTTCTCTCTCTTCTTATTCTTTGGTCTGTCGTCTGCCTCCAGCAGCGCTTCTAGGCTCCACGGCTCGCATCTCAAGCCAACTTAAAGGTTTGGCACTTAATTTCTTCTTCTTCTTCTTCGTCTCTCTCTCCTCTCCCATTCTCTCTCTGATAGTCTGGTCTGATGCACTCCTCTCTGTCACTCCTCTTTCTCATATTGATGCATTCACCACGCCACACCCACTCTCTCTGATGCACTCACCACGCCGCAACCTCTCTCTCTCTGATGCACTTAGATACACCCACCCACACTGCCCCCACCCACACGCACCCCCACACACCAAATCGAGTTTGATTTAATCAAATTTATGCATTATTTGATTTGCACAAATTGGTTTATGTTTTATCAATTCATTTTGTCAGTCTGATTTGCACGAACTTGTTCTATTAGGTTCGTTTGTGTTGATCTGATTTGCACAAAGTGATTTATCATTCTTTGATCATGAGGGTGATTGTGGATATGCATTCTAGTGAAATTTCCATGATATGTTATTGATTCTCTTCTCCATAACATGCGTTCTAATGAAATATCCAAATTTTTACTGTTTCTTTTCTCTCCCTAACTTCATAAATTGTATGACAAATTGTATGCATTGCAGATATGCATTCTAGTGAAATTTCATGATATGTTATTGATTCTCTTCTCCATGACATACGTTCTAGTGAAAAATCCAAATTATTACCTGCTTCTTTTCTCTACTTAACTTCATAAATTGAATGACAAATTGTATGCATTGTTGACATTTTTCATATTTTTTTAGCTAACTTATTATGTTTGTTGACATGCTTTATATTTTTTTAGCTAAATTATTGTGTTTATAATTTTTTTTTATTATATGGCTGATCCAACCAGGTAATCCAAACCGGTCCCTCGGCCGAGTCAATGTTCAATCCGGTTTTGATCATGGTTGTCAAAATCTCGTTCAAGATCTTAGGATCTTATGATACGACGATCCGAAATATACAAATCGATCTAAATCTCTTGTAGAATCCCAAATTGATAGGAAATGAATCGTGGCCCGGATCTTATAGGATCATAGAATTCCTATCCGAATTGTGATTTTACTCATCCTATTACTAGTTGTTAAGTTTGCTTGTTAGGTGCATTTAGTTATTAAGATTGTTTTAATACTTAAAGACTCAATCTAAATGTGATTCTCTCGTATACATTTAGATTCTCTTCTATAATTGTCAGTCGATTATGAAATTCTAGCGGATGAGAAAAGCTACATGAAGTTCATTTCACTATCAAAATCTCTATTCATTTGTTTGTCTCTCTCATTGAAAAGAAAAAACAACTGTTAGGTTTGATCTCACAAGTGATAATTGTCAAATAGTCATTTATTTTCACTCCTATTTTTTTTTTTGATGTTGAATTGTTAAAAGTTGTTTATTCAACAATTTCTCAACTTTGCGGGCTCTCATTTATATTTGTCTCTCTAAAAATTAAGATCAAATACTTAAATTTTTCTACTTCTCACAACATCTCACGAGATTCATAGTCTGCCTTTGATTTTTAACTATTCAAAACTGAGACTGTAGTTTCCCAAATTCTAATCATATTTCTAAGTTTTTTGTTTTATATAACACTTGATGTACATATATGCTAGCCTTGCATATATTTTGTTCCTTGTTTTTTTAATTTGTAGGAACTTCGATTTATGTGAATTTTTGCTTTATCAGTTTGACTGTGATTGTGACTGATTTTCATTGTGACTTTCTAATTTATGCTTTATCAATTGTGGTTGTGATTGTGAACATGTTTGATATTTTTTGCTTTTATTTGACTCATCATGTATAAAATATGGTATTGTTATAAATATCATATTTTTTACCTTAATTATTATGTGTTATTATTATTTTTATATTCTTATCATCTGACTGGTCTGACCAGTTGACCACATAATGTATGTTGTTGAATGCATCGGAAGGATCATATAATTCTTTTACATGCTAGTTGTATGATATCTTATTTCCTTCATGTAGACAATATCATGTACTGTATCAGTTTTTTATTCTTTTTGTGAAGGACTCATTATATGAGTTCTTATATGGAATTTTCTTCTGTTAAACACATCCTTATGGAGGAATTCATTATTTTTAGATTTCCATATTGAGCTTACACCATTTTTCCCATCTTGTTCAACTTTTGCTGCAGGTTTTTCTGAAGGAGGAAGGTAAAGATGCTACAAAATGTTCCACACCAAATTGTACAATCACCAGCCAGATTAGGCCTACCCAACCATAATTCGCCGTCTCTTCAAAACCAAACCCCTCCCAAATTCTCCTCTCAAACTTCTCAATCTCATCACTCCCATCACCAAGGGAATGTGTCAAGTACAACCACCACCTCCTCAACCCTCCTTCCTCTCCTACCACCTCTATCTAGAGCGCAATCTCTTCTCCTCCAAATGGCTTCCCTTGCCTCCAGACTCTTTGAAGTCTCTCCAAATCGGCCCCATTGGCTTAGTGCCTTCCGTGGCTCCCTTCCTTCCTTTCTATCTTCCCAAACCCAATCCTTGACACCAACTCCACCAGACTTCTTGCCTTCCTCCACCAAAGAAATCCTTTCTCTTTTCACAACTCTTCAAACTCAGCTCTTTGAGGCTGTTGCAGAACTTCAAGAAATTCTAGATCTGCAAGATGCTAAGCAGAAACTCACCCGTGATATTCGGTCCAAAGATTCTGCAATGCTTGCCTTTGCCAACAAACTTAAAGAAGCTGAGCGGGTTCTTGACATCCTTGTAGACGATTACTCTGATTATCGCCGTGCCAAACGTTCAAAGTCTGAGGATGATATAGACAATTCTTGTACCACAACCGTTTCAACTCAGCTAAATTTATCTGACATTTTGTCATATGCCCATAGGATAAGCTACACAACTTTTGCGCCACCAGAATTTGGTGCTGGTCAGGCTCCTCTCCGTGGGGCACTCCCACCTGCTCCACAAGAGGAGCAAATGCGTGCATCTCAATTATACAGCTTTGCTGATCTAGATGTTGGTTTACCCAAGTCCGTCGAAAGTGAGGAGAAAACAATTGAGCCACTCATTGAAACAGCAGCTATGCAACCAGTAGAATCCAATCCACTTGCTAATCTGCCTGCACTTCAGGGCCTGATTCCTCCAAATATTGTGGTACCATCAGGATGGAAACCTGGGATGCCTGTGGAGTTGCCTAGCGATATGCCTATTCTTCCTCCGCCTGGATGGAAGCCTGGTGATCCAGTTGCACTGCCCCCGTTGGATTCTCTTCCTGTTCCTCATAGGATCGAAGAGCAACAACCACGACTCATTCCTGCTCAAGGATTGGCGAAGGCACCTGAGCCAATACAGGTTCGGCATGTGCAGCTTGATATTGATGACGACAGTAGTGATTATAGCAGTGATGAGGTGAGTTCTGATAGTGAAGATTGACTGTCAGCCAAGTTTCTTCTTTCTGCTTGGTATAATTTTTTGCTTTAGATAGGAATGCTAGAGGCCTCCAAGGGTTGTGCCAGTCCTCCACTATGGAAAACCAAATTTGTAACTGATTCCAGTGCAGGAATCGATCAATTTTACCTAAAAACTTTTTTTTTTCAATGTTTGGCTTTCTTTGTAACATATACAAAGTAGTTGTTGGAGTAAACATGGATTATCGTTGAAATTTCAATCTACATCCGACCAAATGAATTCGGATTTTGATTGGGATGAGGATGGTATATGCACAGGTCCCATATTAACCTGGCATCGAGATTAATTATTGGGTGATGCAGTTTAAACTAGTAACAACTACATGGAGCCCTATGCATTGATTTTTGACTTTGTGACCTAGTTAGCCTTAACCCAACATTGAACTGCAGATTTCTCTGACCCAAAGTAAAACGAAAGCTCAAACCAAATATTTTCACTGAATGGAGAGGATCATTGAGTCGATGTAGCTCAGTTTTGATCGTGAAAGCTAACACTGAAATGAATTTAAGCCTCTTGAATCTAGCTCAGTTTTAATTTAGTGATCTTATTTGTTAACCTGATGAATTATTGTCATTGAATTGATAGTGAGTTTCAATTGATAAAGTCAACAAATATCGTCTATATATAACATTGCTCTTTTTTTTTTCTTTCCCCCCTTGTTGGGATGCTAGCTTTTTGATAGATGGGGATAATACAAAATCAATACATTCAACCAAGTCTAAATAACCACATAGGCAAGCTTCCTTCTTTTTTATCGTACTCTAAACATAAAAGTGCTATATTTTTAAACACATAAAGTGATATGTTTTTAAACATGTTACGATTAGGACTGATAATGAGTGGTGTTTTGTAGAATTCATATTGTATTAAAATTTGTCCAATTTTATCCTGCTCATTTTATAATTGTACATGCCCAAATCCGTGTCATGTTAGGTTATTGCCATATATATGAAATGTTAGCCAATTTATTTCAGATTGATCCATTTATTTAGTGGGTTAATCATCCAATAAGTACAAGATTGAAGACAATACAATTGTTAGTCAAACAGATAATTAAACCAACATATATTTAATTGGGATTTTGTTCTCAATACTTTTATGCACCAATAATTAAGACATTGAGGGCTATATGCCCACTCATTCCAATGCCAATTGGGATCTCGAGCAGGAAGAACGAATGTTGCTTAAAGCTGGCCTGTAGGCGAAATTGATTCAATTACTTTGGTTTGATCAGATGAGGAAGTACTTTGAGCATCAGTTTATGTCAGGGGTTTGGGCTGTCGGATTCAATACAAGCTAAATTTCCAAGCAAAATTGACTTGGATATAGTTAATGGAAACCTAAAAACCATAGAAGTTTAGTAGCCTTATGCTCAGGCTTAAGAGGAGTTGCTTAATTTGTGCTGGGGCGATAGTTCTACCCTCTAAGAAGGCTTCAGCAGGTTTCATTGGTACTGTGATTGTACATGCTTCATTTGCATGCTGTTTTTGAACGAGATACTTGTCTATTTATGCCACTTGAAATTGGGTTGTTGGCTGAATTGTTAGAGGGAGTAATTATCCTTGTTTTAGTTGCATTGATCAGCTTTGCTCTTGAGAGATGCCAATACCACATCGTAGATGTTGATTAGACTTTTTAGGAAGCCAAGCTAGAATGCTGAGATTTCAGGATTTTTACCTTGAGTCAAATTACTTGTATGAGGCTAGATCAGTCTTGAAGATATGAATTCAGTCCGTTTTATTCCTTGCTGGAAGATGACAACAGTATTGGGGCCACAATCCTTCCACTTCGTTATCACGGGCAATGAATATGTGAAGGTGAGATATATCAGCTTTTGAAACTAGTCAGTGGCTGAAGGCTGGTACTTTGTTGTGTTTATGGCATCAAGGAGACGATTCATATGGCTTGATTGCACATTACAAAATTATTGCTGTGATATTCTTTTAAAATCTCATTAGGGTTTATTATCCATTTGGTTTCCAAAACATTCTTCGATGAGATTTGGGTAGAAGTAGCATATCATGTTTGTTTCAATGAAGGATGACCATTAGCATGTTTTTTGTTTAGAGCATGAAATCCTACTTTTGCTGTCTCGGGCCTCTAAATTATATGCAAGTTCCAAAAATTTTAGGGGTACCTTGATTTGATTGCACAAATGAAGTCTTCTTGTGGACAGTTGATGCCTGTAGTTTTGCCATACCTTCTGTAATAATCTTATCTGATTATTCATTCCTTTTTGTACTGGGATTATTAGCTTCTTTATCCTTGATGCCTTCCATTTTAAACTAGAAACATAGTCTCTGGCTTCTGGGAAAAAACAAGCCTAGAGGATTGAGGACACAGTGCTTTATATAGTGTGGCTTTGTTTATAATTACACTTAGTTTGGTCTGCTTTGATTTTATTTTCATATATGTTGATGCTTTTATCTACTTCTGCATGAGGAATGGTTAAAGGAAAAAAATACATTTGTAATTTGTGTTCTCTACTAGGTCGATACATGGAGAGTAAATGTTATTAGAACATAATTTATTGTCATAATTCACTATGACCTTTGACTTCAATAAAAAAAAAAAAAATTCACTATGACTTTTGGATTGACTGTGGAGCCCCTCAAATATTGGAATTTGGTGTTGATCTGATAGTTCTATTGAAACCGCATCATTATGTCAGCAAATTAGATCAGATATTTAGCTCCAAATAATATTAATCATTCAGAAATTATGGCCTTATCTTGAGTTGTTACCTAACAAGTAAGGCAGAATTTTATGCTAAGAAACTATATGGCTGCTAATTTATGTCCCAAGTGCAAAGCAATCGATTGATCCTGGTCTGTCAGCAGTTGGTGGAATTGTATTTGGTTATTTTCTGCTTGCGGTGAAAATCAAGCAAATAATTGAAGTTAGGTCCGCATGAAATAGGTGTATATACATTATCCACGTCTGATATGAAAACTAAGACCTATGTTCTTCATGTCCGTCTCATGCCGACCATGTTTCTCTCCAGTGCTCACTTTTCTTTGTCAGAGTCCCTAACCTCAAACGGCATACGACTCTTTATGTTTTTTTGTGCCCTAGTTTTTATCTGCACGATACTCCCAAATTGTGGTCTGATTTAAGCATTTTCACTGATTAGTGTCATTTTCGAGTTTGTGTACAGTTATAATCAAGTTCGTGTCATAAAATTTCAGTGGAGTTAGAGTCGTGTTAAGTCGAAAATTTTCACCCCTAACTAAGATAGAAAAAAAAATGTTTTATTTTTTATTTTTAAAATTTTTATTTTATTTTTAAAAAAAATATAAATATATATTTTATTATTGTATTTATATATGAAATTAATGTATATATAATATATGTTTGTTTCAAAGGATATATAGACAAATAAGATGTATTTCAACACAAATAATTAACTTTATATCTATTTTTCTTTCGATTTTAAAGGGATTAATTTTGGTGAGTTGAAAGGAAAATTCATTCATCTATTTTTCGCTTCTTCCTATTTTTTCTTCCTTACTAAATATAATATGTTGTTTATCCCTCTAACTTTTCATTATTTTAACTTTTGATTTTTCTATTTTTTTACTATACCAAGTAGAGCATAAGTGACAAATCTCAATAGGTCATAGTATAATTTTCCCTATTTTCTTTGCTGCAAAACAGCAACTGGCCATGTGCAGAAAATTACTATATCGTTGTAGAACTCGAGCATGCATAACACACCATAATGTTGGGTGATGTATATTGCTTATAAAATATTATATAGTTTAAATAAATAATTGTTACTTATTATTTTGTCATTAATTTTTTTAAAGAAATCAATTTGTGTTTCTCTTGAGTCAGTACCGTCACAATTTCTTATTGAATATGTATATCTTATCTATGTTTAGGACTTCACTATGGTACCGATAAAAAAAAATTGATATCATACATCTAAAATTTATTACTTGAAAGTGTATTTTTATAACTTTTTTGGGTCGTTTTATAACTAAAAAATTTATCATTTTTGTGGGTAATTCATCACCGTTGTGGATATTTTTACTACTGTTGGGGGTAACTATTTTTATAACTTATGTTGTGTACAAAAAAAAATTACCACTTTTGTGGGCGATTTAATACATATGTGGGTCTTTTTATCACCGTTGTAAGCATTTTTAGCGCGGTTATGATAACAATTTTTATTACTTTTTTGAATATAATAACAATAGTCAAAACACCCACAATAATGATAAAAATATCCACAAATATAATAAATTCGGTATAATACCAAAATTTTATTTTTTAGTACTATAGTCATTATAAGTTAATTTTAAAAATTATAACTTTTAGTATAGTACCAAAAAGTGCGCCACAATCTTTATCTACAATTATTTAGGGGTTTAAGTTACAACTGGATTGAGTATGCTCGATTTCAAAATATTATGCTCGATTACAAAAATTATAATTTTTAAAGATCAAGGTATTATTTTAATGGTCAAATTGCAACCCGTAAAAGAAGATATTATAATTGATTGAAGTAATTCATGAGTTTGATGATCGATCACAATATTTGATGATCAATCATGAATTATCTCAAGTAACTGTAATTTGCTTTTGAAAGATTTAACTTGACATTTAAAGAGATGTATCTAGACATTAAATGAAAAAAAGTAATTCAAAGTTATAATTTAATTAGGGATAATTTGTGTATGAAAGAACAGTATAATATAAGAAGTGAACATTCCAGATACAGAGAGAGAAGTGTGAGGAGAGGAAGAGAAAATTTAGTGTGAATGATTTTGCAAAAAATATTAGTAATCGTTTGATGAGTCTATTTGGCACAGTCAGATAAATTTATTAAAGGTATGTGTCTATATATATATATATATATATATATATATATATATATATATATACACACACTTCTTGAAGGGAAGATTAGTTGGCTTCCTTTGGAACAATCACAATGGAAAGAAGCAGAAGGAGGCCAAAACCATCACAACCAATACACAAACATAGAGTTATTTTCCTCATCTACTCTCTCTTATTCAGTCTCTTCCTCTTTGTCACAACAACATCAAAGGCAGAAGATTTTCCGGTTGGATATGGCTATTCGATTCGATCGACGACCGTTGACTCATCGGGGAGGTCGTTGACTGCTCAACTTCAGCTCCTCAAGAACTCCACTGCTTTTGGACCTGACATTCAGAATCTCAACCTTATCGCCAGGTAAGTCCTACACCTACTCAGTACTACCTAGATGTGATTTTTTTTTTTTTTTTCAATGCGGAATTTGTTGGGTTTTTTTTTTAAATAGTTAGGGTAAATGTCATAATTGACTCCTAAATTTTATTTTTGATTTTAATTTGAGTTCTGAACTTTCAATTGTTCAAATTTAGCTTTTCAACTACCAATTTTATCTCAATTAAGTATTTTTGTCAATTTTTACCGTTAAAACATTATGATTTAACACTTAAAATGGATCATATTTGGCTAGTTTCTGGTTAATCTAACGTTAAAAATAGGTATAAGAACTTAATTAAGACGAAGTTGATAACTGATTGAATAAATTTGGATAATTAAAAGTTCAAGGACCAAATTAAAACCATAGATAAAGTTTAGAGGTCAATTATGATATTTACCATAATAGATAATAAGTTTTGGTATATGATCATTGATAAATTATGTTTTTAATGAATAATGAAGTAATATGATTTTAAAATAACTCAATTATAATATATATTTTTTTGTACAGTAAGTATAATATATGAAAAAACTCTGCAGAAGTTAAACTTTGTTTTGTTGAAATTTAAACAAGTTTAAAATTTTCATTCAATATAATAGATTAAACTTTGTAGCATTACATAATTTGTTTTTTATATTTTATTATCTTTTTTTTTAATCCATTATTTTGAATATAATAGATTGTCAATGACATGGGAAGTAGGAATTTAATAAATAAATAGTGGTAGATGTAACTGTGGGGACCACTATTGGTTAGAATCTTCCAAAGTATATCATTGATTCGTTGACCACATAGAGCCAAGATTGCTATTAGTTAAAATATTTTTTTGTTGGGTTAGTTCAAGGGTCACAAATGTCAAGTTGAGTATTATTAATTTTATTTTTAATAGTTAATGATGTTTAGATTAATTTATACACATATCGATTAATTTTTTCATAGGCCATCTACGTCAAGAGTAAGAGATTTATGAGGGATAAATCACTTATAATCTGATTTTAAAGAGTTATTTACGATTCGAATTTAGGATGTTTAATTTTACAAATACTTTAGTTTTTAATTTCACTTTCACATAAGCCAATCAGGACACTTGGCTTCCGCTAGGAATGTATTTTTTTTTTTTTTTTTTTACGGTTAATTGCTATAAATGAATTATCCAAATATTTATGGTCACAAATTATTATTCAATAGGGTATTCCAAACTTTTTTTTTTGGTGGTACATACTTATCCAATTATAAATGATATGAAATTGGAGATTTTCACGATTCAAACTATTGATATTTTGGGTTGGTGGGGATACATCAAAAACAAAATTATGATTCAAATGCACAACACTCAAATAATACGGTATTAACTTAAAAACGGTTTGGATTCTTTCAAGTTGTATGTTTTTATCCACATCAATCATAGGTAAATTCCTAGGGTCCCACATGGAGTCCACCACTCCAAACAGTTCTTAAAAATTTTAATAACCATGATTTTTTTATTTTACTTTTTAAACCCCTCTTTTACACCCAAAAAAGTCAATTTCAAACGGGTCATTATCGGGGTTATCCCACATCGAATAGCCTTAAGAGTGTGTGTGTATATAAGACGGCTATGACACTTCTCATTTGTTAAAGAGTTGTGTTGTAGTTTGTCTATCTCAAAACAAATTGTGTGCTTATCAGGGTGGTCCCCTGTGTGGTCTGTTGCATCCTATTTTAGGCCTGTTTCAACCTACGAGGAGGCCTTTGGGCCTGGGTGGATCAATGGACAAGGGTTATCCTATATCAAATAGCCTTAGGGGTGTGTGTGTCTATATAAGATAACTATGACACTTCTCCTTTGTTAAGGAGTTGTGTTGTAGTTTGTCTGTCTCAAAATGGGTTATTATCATAATAATATTATTAGTCTCACTTTTACACATTTACAATATAATTTTTTTTATTGTAGTAATGCCATATTACTTGGTCTATATTTTTGGTTGATCTAGCATTAATCATTCAATTTTTGGTCAGGCTAGATCTTGATCGAAATTAATAAAATATTTGTTGAAAATTCAAATTCTTGGTTATACTATTATGTGCTAATATTTTTTTGATTGATATTCCTTTTATATCCAAAAATTACATTTATTCCTCTAAATTATGGTTTTATGTCACTTTGTCGCTTGAATTATTGAACTTCTGTTTATATTATCTTCTAAATTATTTAAATTGATTTATATTTTCTCAAATACAAGCGAATATTATTTTTTTGATGGAAAATATTCATTTATTGTGACCAAATAAAATAAATCATGTGGTTTGAGGAATAAAATGAGATAAATTTTTATTTAATTTGTAATGGAGGTTAATGTTTGAGATAATGTGAAACTAATAATAGTAAGTTGCAAGTATAATGTAAGATATATTATAATTTTGGGGGATGCCGTGGAATTAGTGTCGTAGTTTAGAGGGTGTAAGTGTAATTATTCTTTTTTTTTTAATTAAAACTTGGCACTGCGACCTTTTTGTCTACAGCTTTGAGAGTAAAGATCGTTTGAGAATCAAAATTACAGATGCCAACCAGGAAAGATGGGAAATTCCACAAGAAATCCTCCCCCGCCAAACTCTTTACCCCCACCGCCTACTGCCGGAAAACCACCCATCTCCACAGGAAAGCCAGTTCCTCTCAGACCCCAACTCCGACCTCGTTTTCTCCCTCCGCAACACCACCCCATTTGGCTTCACAGTCACACGCCGCTCCTCCGGCGATACCCTCTTCGACACGTCGCCGGATCCTTCAGATTCCGGCACGTTCCTCATTTTCAAGGACCAATACCTACAACTCTCCTCTTCTCTCCCCTCCAGCAGGTCCTCTCTGTACGGCCTTGGAGAGCACACTAAGAAAACCTTCAAGCTCACCCATAACCAGACACTGACATTATGGAATGCAGACATTGCTAGTGCAAAGCTTGATTTGAATCTATATGGGTCACATCCTTTTTACATTGATGTCCGTTCGCCGGCTTCTGATGGCAGAGTGCCGGCGGGAACTACCCATGGTGTGTTGTTGCTCAACAGTAATGGAATGGACATTGTGTACAGTGGTGATAGGATTAGTTATAAGGTTATTGGTGGGGTTCTTGATTTGTATTTCTTCTCTGGACCAACCCCAGAAATGGTTATGGAGCAGTATACCGAACTCATTGGTCGGCCTGCCCCAGTGCCTTACTGGTCCTTTGGTGAGTAGTTTCTTTTTTATTGTTCTTACTTGATTTTATGGGTGGTTGTTATTGTTATTAGACTTTAGTTTTGATGTACATTCCTTATCAAACATTTGTAGGCAATTGTTGGGAAAAAAATCATTTATAAAGTGAAATATAATGAGTTTGTGGAGTCCAAATATGGCGAATATGTCTATGAGGGATATCATTTATATTATTGATGGCCAAGTTACATTTCTTAAAGGTGAAAGTTATAACTGATCGATGTTATACATGATATGTTGATGAAAAATATCAAGGAGATGTAACTTTACCTTTAAAAATTGTATTTTTTATGATTGATCACAATATTTTGTTTTGATCATGTCCTTTGGAGTTACAATTTACACACTTGAAAAGTTATTATATGACAGTAAAACGTTGTAACTTTTGTTACGGTATCTCATTCGGTATGTAGTCGTCCTCGTCTGTGAATGACTGAATGTCAAATACGAGATTATCTGATGCTTCTTAAACAACTTTCAATTGTATTGGATCTTATCTGGGGTGCATATATGACTTTTTTGCATTTATGCTTGAGGGTGTATTAGATATGAAACCTTATCGCTATTGGTCCTTGATTTCCATTTATTCCAATATTTCTTGCTTGCTACTTTGGTTCAACTATTGGCACCGAGTATGACACGTTTAGGTTTTACTAATTGTTGGCAAAATGGGGCTTTTTAGATTTTCCTAAGAAAAGGCAAAGATTTTTGTTTGTTCACTTGAGGAATAATCTGTATACCTAGTTGATGATCTGCGAGAAAGTGATCAGTTTAGTTAGTTTTGAGGAGATGTTTGTATTTCTGGTAAAAATTGCTAATAGTCAATCTGTTTTCAGACTGTACCGGAGGTGAATGATTTATCCCATTTTGACTAGAAGAATTTTCTGCATTTGCAGGTCGATTTATTTTTAGATACCTTGAATTGATAGGTTCTTGACTGACAGGTCTATTTGTCATAGACTGTTGCGAATTCGACTATGATTAGTGCCCCTTTTTTTCGGGTTGTTATTGAAAACACCATTTTTTCCCTGTGATTAAGACATTTAGATGATGCTGCCTAAAAATAATGTTTCTCATCCCCATTTCTCTTCCTAAACATTTAATGTATATACATCATAGATTGACTCTTGATTGGAATTCTGACAAACATAGCATAGGCTTGTTCCGTAGCACGCTTCGGGCAAAGCCAGAGCCCGATTCTCTTGACCCCAAAATCTAGTTTTGATTCAAATCCCTCCTTAACCCTCACCCTGCCTGCACCACAGCCTATCATTATCCCTTACCAACCACCTCCCATCTACAATCTTGATAGAGTCCCTTGGAATTAATAAAACAGATACGGAGAAGAGAGAAAGGGAAGATTGTGATGAGATTGGGAACATGACTCGCTCTGATAGATGGTTTAAGCCAGACAACCTGAAAACAAATAGAGATAAAGAAAAGAATAAAGGGAAGGAAAAAACTTATGTTTTTTTCAAGGAAATCTAGAGGTAGGAATAGCATGTAGCCGAACAGCTTAACAAAGTCCCCACCCAAATTTCGTTCTTAGGTCTTGCATATGTCTAGAGAATTGCATAAGCTTCACATGAGCTTGACCATTGTTTATAAGAATGATGAGTTTGAAATGGTAGTAATTAAGATTCATGGTTATACTCTTAATTAAATTGAACTTTCTCTAGTTATAGCTATTTCTTTTTAACTTTTGTAATTCAGATGATTGAGAATCGATCTGTATTCTATTAGTAAACTCCCTGCAGACTTGAACATAATTTTGAGCATAGAAAATGCACAAGCTGTGAGGCACAGATGTTAAGAATCTGGAAAGTTGTTATATTGAGTGGAAGAAAACAGGGGCATCTTTAAAATTCTAACACGAGTTTCAACTGGGAAAAGTTTGCAGTCCTGTTTTCTCACAATAAAAGCTGAGATATGATCATTTAATGAGCTGTCATCTCCTGATCCCTGCATGAGGTGGCTACACTTCATGGTAGACGCTTCGGATTCTTAAAGTAGTCTCATCTCTCATGAACTCTGAAGCACTTCTGATTTCTTTTGTTGGTTTACAGTTGAAGAAATCATACTATCTATTTCATTTAGTTGTGTCTTCAGGCTTCACACTGGGTCCTTTTATATTATGTTATTCTGAGCTAGATTGGTTTTTTAGCTGCATTATTTGTAGCCATACAAGAATTTAGTTTGCTTAATGCCTACACATTTCACTTTCTCTCCTTGCTTATAGGATTTCACCAATGCCGCTATGGTTACCAAGACATAAATGATATTGAGGGTGTGGTTGCTGGCTATGCAAAAGCTGGAATCCCACTTGAAGTTATGTGGACAGATATTGATTACATGGATGCCTATAAGGATTTCACTCTCGATCCCGCTAACTTTCCATTGGACAAGATGAAGAAATTTGTTGAGAAGCTTCACCTAAGGGGTCAAAAATATGTGCTTATCTTGGATCCGGGTAAGTTGTAACAAAACTCAGTCGAACTGTATCTTTTGCTCAAACCTCTTGCTTCCAACCTTGATTCTTAGCTAACATAATTGATTAAATTATACTTGGTGAGCCAAGTCCTAATGCACTTTATCTCTTTTTGTTGATCGTGCTGCTTTTGTAACAGGAATTAGTGTGACCAAGTCATATGAAACCTACAAAAGAGGGATGCAAGCTGACATCTTCATAAAACGTAATGGGATCCCTTACCTGGGTAATGTTTGGCCTGGACAAGTCTACTTCCCTGATTTTTTAGATCCTGCTGGTGGAATCTTCTGGGGCAACGAAATCAAAATATTCCGAAACCTTCTCCCCTTTGATGGCCTCTGGCTCGACATGAATGAGATATCCAATTTTTTATCGTCCCCTCCCAACCCAACTTCTACCCTTGATGACCCTCCGTACAAGATAAACAATTCTGGAGTGCAAAAATCTATTATTGAGAACACTGTTCCAGCAACATCCGTACATTTTGATAACATTACAGAGTACAATGTTCATAACCTTTATGGATTCTTAGAATCAAAAGCTACTAATGCAGCTTTAATCAACATTACTGGTAAAAGGCCGTTCATACTCACTAGGTCAACGTTTGTGGGTTCTGGGAAGTATACCGCACATTGGACTGGAGATAATGCTGCTACATGGGATGATATTGCATACACGATTCCAAGCATCTTAAATTCAGGATTGTTCGGTATCCCAATGGTTGGAGCTGACATTTGTGGTTTCTCTCAAGACACAACTGAAGAGCTTTGCCGGCGTTGGATTCAGGTAAAAATTCATTGCTTTTTAGTCAGTGCATTAAAATCTAATTATTTCCCATACGCTCTTCATAGTACTTGGAATGGAATTTTTAGGAGTGAAAGTTTCACAAGCATTTCATAGTCATTTTTTTTTGTTATGCTGGCACTATTGTAAGTCCAATTTCCCTTTAAAAGTTTACCAAAACAAAAATGAATAACTTTCATTCCATAGTTTTTAAAAATTGAGAACATTTATTCCTGTTTTAATTAGATGCTAATTATTGATGCCAACAATTTATTCAATCTAGCTCGGGTCTTTTTATCCCTTTGCGAGGGACCACTCTGACAAGTATACAACTCGTCAAGAGCTATATATGTGGAATTCAGTTGCTGCAGCAGCTAAGAAGGTCCTAGGACTCCGTTACAGGCTATTGCCATACTTTTACACCTTAATGTACGAGGCACATTCAAAAGGAGTTCCCATTGCAAGGCCACTTCTCTTCTCATTCCCTCAAGATACCAAAACTTACGAGATTGACTCACAGTTTCTCATAGGCAAAGGCGTAATGGTGTCGCCTGTGTTGAAGCCAGGAACAGTCTCAGTAAATGCGTATTTCCCAGCAGGAAATTGGTTCGACCTCTTCAACTATTCGCGTTCTGTGAGTGTAGTTCCAGGAAAGTACGTAACACTTGCTGCACCACCAGATCACATAAATGTACATGTTCGGGAAGGAAACATATTGGCCATGCAAGGAGAAGCCCCGACAACACAACTAGCCCGAAAGTCCCCATTCCAGTTATTGGTTGTCATCAGCAGCAGTGGAAACAGCACGGGAGAGGTTTTCTTGGACGATGGAGAGGAAGTGGAGATGGGCGGGGATGGCGGGAACTGGAGCTTGGTAAGATTTGATGGTGGCATTGTAGGGGAGAAAGTAATAGTCAGATCAAAGGTTGTAAATGGAGACTTTGCTATGCGTCAGAAGTGGAACGTAAACAAGGTAACATTGCTGGGGTTAAAACAACATTTAAAGAAGCTCAAGGACTATGAGATAATCATTAAGGTGGGAGGAAGGCTACAAAATGGGAAGCCAATGATCAAAGAAAGTTTTGATGGCAATTCATTCGTAATTGCGGAAATATCAATCCCATTATCGGTACCCATTGGACAAGAGTTTCAATTGGAGTTGACACTCAAGAAGTAATGAAAGTATGCAAAAGAGCTCAAAGCCACCCATTTCTTTTCAAATTTGCAATTGTAGCCTGACACTTTATGCTTGGTTAAAGCTCAAGCTTAAATAAAGCCTTGAACCAGTCATTTGTTGAAAACTTTTCATTTGTAGAAGTACTTTGTCTTCTTTTTTTTCTTCCATTGCCTTGTCCAACAAATTATATCAATATAATAAAGTAGAATGAAATTTGAATCTAAAAGACAAAGAGAAGTCTAGATCGTTTTGAGACAAAATATAAACACATCCAACGGACAACGTAATCCTAATATAAAAGACGGTTCAAATTATCTCAAAAATTTTGATCTAACTGTTTACAGTTAGTCAACAATTTCTTTTCTTGCCCATGAAGAAGCCTTTAATTGTAAGACTCTACACTTCTATCTCTCATATGTCTCTATCTTAAATTTGAAGAAACACAATAATAACTTAGATGGAATTCATTTTAAATTAAATGATCTAAATGTTATATTGTTTGTACCTTAATTTAGGTTGATTTTGTTTAATTTCTAATTTTATGATAAAATTTTACATAAAATTAAAAATATTTCTATCAAACACACATAAAATACATAAATATCTCTAAGTTTAGTGTTTTTTTTTTTTAGTTTGACAATTTAACATTTGACCTCAATAACCGCATACACATCGTCACTATAACACAAAAATCAGTACTCAAATGGACAATATCATAATTTTTGGACATATAAATTTTTTAGTATATTGATTTTTTCAAAACCTTTAGTATAATATTTCATTAAAAACCATTATATACTTACTATATAATTTTTTATCCTTCTTATTACAAACTGATTCATACCTAGAGTACACTATAAATAGATCTTCTTATCACGCATCTTAGTACCGATGATTGATGTTTACTTCTTACTTTTTATCAATCAATAAAGTTTAAATTGTCTTTATAATCTATAAATAAAATCATCAAGTTATTATTCATACCAAAAATAAATCATTACTGTATGAAAACCTATAGTTCTCAGAAAATTAAAAAAAAAATTCAAATTCCAAGTTAATTAGCAATTAAAAAAAATAAGTAATCAATACAAAAAAAATAAGATACCAATTGCACCAACAAAAAATGTTCAAAACCAATCTAATCACTATGTGTTGAAATTATTCAAACATCTTATTTTTGTGTGTTGAAATTTTATAAGTAATATAGTGCCTTCAGGCACAGACAATAACTAGTGTATATATATATATATATATATATATATATATATATATATACACACACACACACAAGCGCACGCACTGCACACACACACAGAGTTATACATACATACATACATACACATGCACACATACACACACACACACATGCATTGTGCACACACGCGTCTTTTGTTGTTATTTTTTTTTAATATTTTTTGATTATTTATTAATTATTGTTCTTTTCTTTTTTTGATTAGATATTATTCATTTATTGTGTTATTCAATTTGTTATTGTTTAGTTATTGTGATTGTCCACTTATTACTATTCGATAAAATTAATTTTATTATCATGTTTGTTAAATATAGACCACAATATGATGATAATGATTATAATTTATATTATGAATTAAACTGATTTGATATATCGTAGTTTTTTATTAGAGAAAAATATATTTTATAAAGATTTTCAAATTAAAGAGTGGAAGAGTAAAACTAAAAATTAATTTGTTTTCAGACGTCAGCTCTATATAGTTATCAAACGCTTGGTTCCATTCAATACTTAAATTTCAGTTAGTACAAAACAGTGCATGATTCAAACTTCAGTTTTTACTTTTCAGATTTCAACTTTCAATTTTATCTAACACCACCTAAATCATTATAATTTGGATAAATTACATTTTACCTCTTAAACTATTACTCTTATTTTACTTTATACCCTCAATTATAAAATTTTTGACATTGCACCCTAAAGTATTAATTTTATTTTATATCACTCTAATAAATAACAACTGTCAAATTTTTGATAGTAAATGTGCATGTGAGTGGTTTGTACAGTCAATATGCAACTATCTATTATATATATGCAGGTCAAAAATCAAGAAAAATACTTATCCATGACTTTGTCCTTCTTAAAATTCAATTTTTTTTCTTCTGACAGACTTTCTTTTTCTTCTCAACAATAATTTAATTGTAAAAGAGATAAAATAAAGTGGTACCCTCACTTGACAAGAAGCTCTTTAGGATTTTCCTCCCCCTTTGATTGATTTTCAAGTTTGTTATTATCTATTAAAGTGATATGAAACAAAATTGGTACTTTAAGGTGCAATGTGAGAAATTTTATAATTGAGGGTGCAAAGTGAAACAAGAGTAATAGTTAAGTGTGGGACAAACTGTAATTTGCTCTTATAATTTCTTGATTTGATTTCTCTTTTGTTGTTTTACACTGGGCCTAGCAGTTCCGTGTGATATATGTAAAATATTGGACATATAAAAACCACATACTCTGTGTTACATGGGGATTTTGATCCCGTCAAATACATTTTTTCCAACTTTATCTTCAATAATAGATCACCCGACATGGTTTTAAGTGAAACCCACTACATATGAGTAGGTCTCAAACCAATATACTATGGATAAATCTAGAATACTCTAGATTTGTCGTAGTGGACTATATCAAATTAGATACACCAGACTCATGAAAAGAAATTGATCGATTTCATTTACCGAAAAAAGGCAAGATTTCACTTACCAAAAGAAAACAATTGAATTTTCGACACTTTCTCATTCTTTATGTTAAAGTTAAATGGTCTACAATAAAAAATCATAAAATTGTTTGTTCGTACTAAACTCCGGGTGAGACTATTATCACGCACAAATATCCATTCCACCTAATTTGACTTCTTCAAAAAAAATTATTAACCCTATCCCATTTTATACGCAACTTATAATAATTAAACTACCCTTATGCTAAACACACCCTTAGCATGCTAAATATATTTGATTCTCACTTCCATATACATTTTTAGCATAAATTTCTTCATCTTACCCCTTTTTTGAAATCGCTTATATTTAGCCTTTCATGTATACTAAGAAGAGTTGTAAGCTGAGAATGTAACTCCTCCAAGCATGGGTGATAATGTGTGTTTTCTAACTAACAAACGCTTGGGAAAATAATTATTTTGGCCTAAGGCTCTGTGGAAGTTTTGTTTCTTTAAAAGCGGTGAAGGTTTAAATGATAAAAGACTCTGAAATTTGATCTTCTGAGCATATTATAAAAAAAAAAAAAAGGCTTTGAATAACCAAAAATTAAAAAAAACCTCAATTTTATTTTTTCTGCCTTCATTTGAAGAGCAATATATTTTTCGGGTTGCTTTGAAGATTGGATTTGTCTTTAAAGTTTGTAGCAAGCAAGAACATATTTATTACAATGGTGATATCACGTGATAATACTGACATAGTATCACCAAACAATAGTATCAAAACAAATAAGTAAATAGGCTCCACTAAAAGTAATAATCAACCCTCCATGTAAGCAACTAATTGTCCATTCTTCTTCCATGTAAGCAAATAATCATCAAAGTGGGGTTCACCTTATTCACTTAGTGTTTATTATTGGTTGGTGATTTCATGTCAACATTACTGACATAGTATTACTGTTCTATTCAATATTTACTCGTAGCAAGCACACATTCAATTTCACGGTACATATGCTAGATTAATACTTGTTTAGTGTTCATCTTCTAAAGATCTGAATAACAATTTTAGTAATATTAGATGTTATTTAATACTTTAAATGATATAAATGCAACACATTTTTGCATCAACTAGTGTATCTATATTTATCTATACTACACTACTAATAAAATGCAGTTAAGTAAAAAACTTTTGCTTGACTATTATGTCCCTACTAAAAATGTTAAAACCAACTTTATTCTTATGTATTTAATTAACCAATATTAATTAAATATCCAAATGACCCTTCATATACTTCCACTTCCACACAAATTATTGTTCCTTAAATTGTACACTTACTTACTTCATAGGTTAATGACTCTCTATCACTCCCAAATTCTTTTCATCAACCATTTAGTTTACAATACAACTATTTCCTAATTCTATTTTTATTGACATTTCATTGCCACTTAATTTCCTATTGATTCATTAATACACTTGTACATGATTGTTCAGATAATAGTATATAAAAAATTACTTTTTTATCTTCAAATAATTGGACTTTTAATCCTTTCTCCAACACATTGTAAAAGCTTCCTTTTTGTCTCATTTACTTTTTGACCTTTCAAATTCTAACTTAATATTGATTAGTCGGTTTACACCTTTTTCTTTCATACACATTCTCTCTTCTTTTGTAACAACTGAAATACAAAAGCCAAAAAGCTCTTATAGTTATTAAGTTCTACAATTATGTGAATTATCTTCTTTCTTTCTTTTCACCAACCAATTAATCTCATTTTTTGTGCTTGTTTCTATATAATGTGTGTGAATGTGTATATTCCCTTTATTTTATGATTCTAATTAAGGTTTTTTCATTTTAATAGTAAAGAAAAATCAATATTCAAGAATGGCGAACAGTGGATAACATATGAAAACGAGGATTTAACATGAGGTATGGCCACAATTTGCATAATTTTGTTCAATCTCATAATTTTGTGTTGATTTTGACTAATAATTGTTGTGCGAATTAGGAGAGTTTAGTGGATTTGGTCAATGTATTTATAGGCTCTCAAGAATATATGATTAAGCACACAACACATCAAAATAAATTATCAAAACACAAGAATATTGCTATCTAAAGATGTGCAAATCCTCTATACTAAGACAACATCCACATCATATGGCTATCTATTATTTTGCCTAATCTAACATAACTAATTAGCCAGATCTAATTGGGTCAGACCTAGTAAATCAAGCAAGCCCAAATCCACTAGAAATGTAGGCCAAGCCCGGTTCATCAATCTGACTTAGTCCAAGATTCAAGGAGCTCAGGAAGATAAGAGCATGTGAGAGAGAGATTATTGGGATATCCACTCTCGTAGATCAAGACTATCTTAATTGTACTTACCTTTTGTACTTATCCTCCCCGAAAAATTAGTACCCTCACACTCACGTCACCGCCTCACCATACCTATAAATTGTAAGCTCTCTCCATTGAGAGGGGCATCTCACTGCACATTGAGCTTTGCCTCTACACCCCTCTACACATATTTTCTCTCTCCTAGCTATTGTATCTCTCCCGAAGCCAACCATTGTTCTCTCTTTTGTTCACCTTGCTTGATCGATAAAAATCCCCTGACCACCGTTGTCGTGTCTCAGAGTGGAATAGGTCACCTAGACCGAACCACTATATATCTATATGTTGACTCAATATTTACATTATTGTCATTGATTGATTTATATATTGTCCATTAATTACACATTATAACACACTCGATTGTTGATCTTGCATAAGACTATTTTGTGCATCATCAATTTGACACCGTCTGTGGGAAATGACTAAGTTTCCTACTACCTTGCTACTCCATGGTAATCACGTCCAGGTCAATGAGTCAACAACCGGGAGACAACAACTTAACCCCCAGGAGGAGGCTCCGTCTTCCCTCGCACCCTCGGAACCATTCACTACGGCGACTCCCGTGGTCTAGCAACAGCTCCTACAGGCCATGCAGCTACTGGTAAACTAGAACCAACAAATCATTCAGTTGATGCTCGCCTAGGGAAGCGTCGCCCCACTCCCTCAAACGGGAGAAACACAACAACCTCTCCACTTTGGGCACCAAGTCGCCCCCACCGTGGAACACAGCGCCAGAACACCCTTGGACAGCGCCCCGGGCGCCCCTCACCCAACAGCGTATAGGAAGTTCACGTGTTCCCCCTCCTCATGTACCTACACAAGAAGACGAGGGAGAAAACCAGTATGCCGATCATGAGAGTCATTACAACAACCCGATGGAAGATGTCCCTAATCAATGGGATGAGAAGATCAGAGAGGTGCAAAACTAACTCGGTGATGCCCTCAACGCCATCAAGGCACAGGCGCCAAGACGGTGGGCTACTTGGTAAGGCACACTGATACCTCGTTTGTTGCAGATATTATCAATTACCCCTACCCTCGAAGTTCAAGATGTTTGCCATCGAGATCTTCGATGGTACCAAGGACCCTCTAGATCACCTCAACACCTATAAGTCTCTAATGCAACTCTACAATGTGCTTGAGGAGATCATGTGTAGAGCCTTTCCCATCACCTTGAAGGGGTCTTCTCGACAATGGTTCACGAAGATCAAACCCTTATCTATTCACTCCTTCGTAGAACTAAGTAAGTCTTTCGTCTCTCACTTCATTGGGGGATGTCGACACCAGAAGCCTGTTACCTACCTATTCACCACCAAGTAGGACCGGGATGAAGGCCTTAAGAGCTACCTCACTCGTTTCAATGAGGAGGCTCTCTAGGTCGAGGAGCCAAACAATAAAGCAGCCTTGGCCTCCTTTATTGCCAGTTTGCGCTTCTCTAGCTTCATGTTCTCCGTTCTTAAGAAGTCATCCTCCCAGTATGTCGGAGTTGCTGTCGAGGGCACAGAAATACATGAACGTCGAGAACATCACCAAAGCCTGTCGAGGTGAGTCCTCCCTAGGAGGGAAAAAAAGGAAAGACACCTGCGAAGACAAGTGGGAGGCAGATTACAAGAGGAAGAAAACTGAGAGAGTCTCTGTCAAGGACCGTCTCGGTCTCGTACCCCTGAGAGAATGATAGTCTTTCACGCCACTCAATGCCTAGGTGGAGCACATCCTATTCTAGATATATGATGATCCCACACTCTGCTGGCCAGAAAAATTGAAGTCCGACCCAAATCGCAGAAATTCCAGTAGATACTGTCATTTTCACCACAACCATGACTACTACACTGACGACTGCTTCCCGTTAAAAAGGTAGATCGAGGAGCTTATTCAATGTGGCCAACTGAGGCAGTACATTGCTGGCCGAGAACCAGCTCCACCATCTGGCTGGAATCTAGGAGTGTCAAATTTGTCTAGTTAAACGAGTGACGGATAAAAAACATGTAAACCTATATACGGCACGTTTAATAAACGGGTAAAAAACCTAAACACGAACACAAATCGTTTAATAAATAGGTAACATGACACGACTCATTTAACCCATTTAATTTTATTAAAATTTTAACCCGCAGCAAAAAAACTATCATATTAAAATTTTAAACTCTATTAATTATCCACACCAATTGTAATCTCTTATTTAAATAATTTTCAATTAGCTGCCACTTGCAAAAGCAAATGAGAAGGTTTAATGACTAAAGGAAGGGATTGCATAATTTTATAGGCATGAGAGGTCTCATTCATTTGAATTTGTCGATGTGGAATTCAAGCCAAAAGCCTTTACCTTGTGTTCGTTCAACCCTTTCTCAACACTCTCTCTGATTACAGCATTCACTTCCTCCACAAATGTTTTTTTCTCCACCTGAACGACAAGTTCCATAACTAAGACGTTAGGTATGGGCATATGGAGAGCAATGCCATTGAGCTTTCCCTTGAGGGTGGGTAGAACAAGGGCCACTGCTTTTGCAGCACCAATTGAAGTTGGAACTATGTTGAGAGCTATAGCTTGTGCACGTCTAAGGTCCCTATGGCTTGCATTAAGAAGCCTCTGGTGTCCGGTGTAAGAGTGAGTTGTAGTCATTGTTCCCTTTATGATGCCTACCATATCCACACATAGCACATCAACATTCAATCAGTGTCTATAAGCCCACAAAGAGAGAAGAAAGAGACTCGGATCAAGCTCAGATCTCTCCTTTGCAGAAGCCGGGAAGAGAGAAGGAAGAAACGTGTCTTATTAATTCCCACATTGAGCTCTCCAAAGGGGGGTAAGTGAGTAATCTATATTTATTTTTTCTGAAGTAAGATTTTTTTTAGTCATTTACCATATATTTATATATAATATTTTAATTTTGACTAATTTTTTTAAAATAATTATTAATTTATTATTATATTATTTTTTTTAAACGGGTGATAAACGTCTCACCTGAATACGACCAGTTTATTAAACATATTTGATGGGTTAACCCATTTATCACTTGAACCCGTTAAGGTCTCACCCAAACCCATTTAATTCATGTCGATTCATGTCAGTTAATCCTGTCGTGTTGAATTTTGATAGGCCTACTAGAATCAAGAGGATCGAGAACGTCAACAACCCTTCAAAGAGATCTAGAATATTGTTGGAGGGTTAGGAGGAGGAGGTGACTCCAACTCTGCTAGAAAAGTGCACACCCGGAAAGCCAGACAAGCCAAGTCACATGAATCTCGCCCCACAAAGACACCCCTGCACGGGGAAGAAGAGGTCATCGCCTTCTCAGACAGGGGCCTCAAGGGTATCCAAGTCCCTCATGATGATCCTCTAGTCGTAACCCTAATGGTGACCAACTACCAGGTTAAGAAGATCTTGGTCGATAGCGGCAGCCTTTAATAGCCTTCATTTAGGCAAGGAGAGATTGTAGCCCATCAGGACTCCCTTTGTTGGTTTCTCGGGAGAAAGGGTTTACCCCTTGGATTCCATCACCCTGCCGGTCATAATAGGAACAACACCGAGGAGTTTCACCATCATGATAAATTTTATTGTACTTGATTGTCCTTCTGCCTATAATATTATTCTAGAACGCCCTACCCTCAACACTTCAAGGGCAGTGCCATTCTCCTACCACCTTCTCCTCCATTTTCCAAACACCAGTGGGATTGGAGAGATTAGAGAAGACCAGGTCTCCGCCTAGGAGTGCTATGTTGCTTCTATGAGGGCCAAAAAGCTACATGAGACTTTCCAAGTCGAAATTCTTGACCCGAGGGATGAAAACACGTTGGAGAGAGGAGAACCATTGGAAGAACTTCAGGCAATAGCGGTAGATGAGAGCCTTCTAGAGAGGAGAGTTTATATAGGCTCCTCACTTTCCCAGGAGCAAGCATCTGACTTGATAGACTTCCTTAGATGGAACAAAAATGTCTTCGCCTGGTCCCATGAAGATCTAGAGGGCATCGACCCCGAAGTAGCCTCCCACCGACTCAACGTCGATCCCAGGTACAAGTCCATCTGCCAGAAGTTGAGGAATGTAAGTATGGAGAGAGGTTAGACCATGGAAAAGGAAGTAAAGAAGCTACTGAAGAATGAATCAGTAAGGGAGGTAGTCTACCTAGACTATTTGTCCAATGTAGTGATGGTTACAATGGCCAATGAGAAGTGGCGCCTCTGCGTGGACTTTACAGAGCTCAACAAAACCTGTCCTAGAGATAACTACCCTCTCCCACGCATCGATCTCTTGATTGATGCCACTGTAGGACACGAGCTCTTGAGTTTTCTAGATGCGTACTATAGGTACAACCAGATCAGCTTGTTCCCTTCAAACCAGGAGAAAATGTCATTTAGCACCTTGAGGGGCACCTACTGCTACAGGGTGATGCCTTTTGGATTTAAGAATGTCGGAGCCACATATCAACGCCTCATGAACAAAATATTCGAGGCTTAAATCAAAAAGACTATGAAGGTCTACATAGACGATATGTTGGTGAAAAGTATGGCTGCGGCAGACTATGTGACACACCTTCAAGAAACATTTGATGTACTGAGAGCCTAAAAGATGAAGCTGAATCTTGAAAAGTGCGCCTTTGATGTCGATTCAGGAAAGTTCTTTGGTTTTATAGTCAACAAAAGGGGCATTGAAGCCAACCCATACAAGATCAGAGCCATCTTAGAGATGAAGTCCCCAGCCTCGGTAAAGGAGGTCCAGTGCCTTAATGGGAGGATGGCGACCCCCAACAGGTTTATCTCTAAATCAGCAAATAAGTGTTTGCCTTTCTTTAAAATCCTTCATAGGTTTTTCCAGTGGAGACTAGATATAGAGAAGGCTTTTGAGAAGCTTAAGGCCTACCTTGTCACACCACCTTTTGAAATGCCCAATACAGGTATGTGATTGGATCTATTAAATAGATAAATAAAAAGATAGCAAATTATTTAGAAATTTAGAATTTGTGTACGTAGATGCCTTATGGTTAAATTAATATATATATATATATATATATATATATATATATATATATATATATATATATATATATATATATATTTAGTGTATTGGGTACCAAGGGTAACTATAAAGTAAGAAAAATAAAAAAAAGGGGGGGGATAAAAGTGTGATTAATAGGAGTTCTCTTGTTGCCCTAGGAGTGTACTTATATATATATATATATATTCTTTTTTCAATATCTACACATACGTTAGAATAAGAGAAAGGAGAGGAGAGGCTAGGGTTTTGAGTAAAGGAAAAAGGAAGAGAAAAAAAGAAGGGGATTTAGAGAAGAAGGGCGAAAACTAGAAAATTGATCATCAAGGTTAGTCTTCATACCAAAATTTAATTTTGTATTTAATCATTATATGTACACATATACAAGGTTGTAGTCTGATATATATTGCAAGTAATCCATACGGATATGTTTATAGGATTAAAATATATAGATTAAAATATAATAGGGTGGTATTGGTGTTAAGAAGATATTGGGAAAGGGGAAAGAAAGAAAGGTTACAAACAAGCTTCTGGATACAACGTAAGGTTGAAGAAGATATAGTTTTGGAAATTATGGAAACGTCCCCCTTAGTTTTAAGTAGTTGTATTTTGATTCCCATACTTTTATAAACTCAATTTTTGACTATCATGGAACTTGGTAATTTATAAAACCAATCCAATATGTTTGAAACAAATATGATTATGTCAAAACAGCCCCCGAGTCTTGAAATTTTTTTAAAATTTTGAAACGACCCTTAAAAGTTTCGATTAAGTGTAAAAAAATTAATATTTACTCTAATAAATCAAATTGAGGTTGTATTCTTGAAAAATGGGTCTCTAGAACCTTAAATACTATTCTGGAAAATTTATGGCAGGCTCGAAAACAGAAAATTTGTTTTTAAGGAAATTACACTTTGACCCTAAAAGTTTCAAAAATTATGATTTGACCCCATAACTTTAGAAACTTTTTTCAAACAGTCCTGAATTGAATTTTAGAAATCATAGTGAGTAGTTTAATACTTCTATTAGGATAAGTTTTTATATTAAACTGTGGGTGCGTGTGTGTGAATTTTTATATATATGATATATGTTGATGTTTGAGGTTGCAATTAAATATTTTGCAATTGTGAATTGTTATACTTGTGAAGTTTGAAAAAACTTATGAGATGATTTTATATTATTACTTAAATGTTTTCTGATGATGAAAGAGAAATTTTGTGTGTTGGGACTGAAACAACAATTTTAGTGTGTGTTGCAACCATATTTTATGAGAAGGGAATTGGGTTACTAGGTCTAAATGGTAACGAGATTGTATACCGGCGTGGTCGGAATAGGGATGTGCACATAGGGGCTAGTTATCAGGCTAGTGATAACAAGAGACGGGGCTAGTCATCAGGTTAGTGATAACAAGAAATGAGGCCAGTTATCAGGCTAGTAGTAATAAACATGATTTGACAAATGTATTCGAAATTGAATGTGTGTGTGTGTGTGAGAGTGTTTTGAGTTATAAATGTCCTTAATTTATAAAGTTATTTGTGAAAATGAGTGGGTATTTGAGTTATAAATGTCTTTTCTTTTATAAAGTTATTTACGATCATGAGATTATTTTGTTTATATGATTATGTGGAAGAGATTGGGGTACAATTTGTTGTACTTATGTAGGTAACAAAGTTTATTTTTGCATATAAAATGTGGAAATTATTTTCACACCTCATTAGAGGTGGTTGCTATTCACGGACCTTTGTGCTCACCCAAACATTTAACATTTTTCAGGTGAGGATCAAGGGGAGGAGTAAGTCCCCGGATAGACAAAAGATTAGAAGGATTGAAGATTTATTTCATTGTAGGTCTTTAGGAATAAATGTCTTTTTATGGTTTTGAAACAAATATTTAATTATTTTTGGGATTAGTGTTACTCCTGTTTAGACTTTAGAGTAGTGCACCTTATGGTTTAGTTATTGTTTTATATGAGTTTAATAATGATGTTGGTCATGTTTAGTTTATTCCTCTGGTATTCATTAGATCGGTGAAATGGATCACTTTATTATTTGTTTTCCGTTGTATTTTACATATATTATGCATGTGGTTAGTTGGTTAAGGCCTTGGTGGCCGGTCCGCTGCCCACCCTATTGTGATCCGGGGTGGGGGTGTGACAAGAGTGGTATCAGAGCCTAGGTTTATGGATTACCAGAGGATTAGGATGAATTTTAAGAATTATTTAGGGTTTAATTGATTTGGTTTGAGAGATGTGGAATGATGATACTAGTGCACAATATTATTGTTTTGGTGACTAAGACAAGTTAGTTTATTTTGTATTTTGTAGAAAGTATAGATGGCTGCAAGCAAGAAAGGTAAGGGTGCTGCAAATGATAGGGATGACACTAACAACGTTCCAGAGCTTGCAAATGACGAGCCACCACTGAATGTTTATAGGGATATTGGGAAGGCCTTGCAGGGAATCCCAAAGATCGTTGAAGGGCCGAAGGGTCAGAAGGAACTCAGCATTGAGGAGTTAGGAGGATGACGCCTGCTTTCATAGGGACTACTACCCCTACAGACACAGAGAGTTGGATTATGGATATTGAGAAAATTCTAGAGGTCTCAAGGTGTGATGATGGTAAGAAAGTGGCATATGCAGCTTTTATGTTG